GGTAGGATGGAATACTATATTATCCACTTTATAATCGCCATGTATTATTGTAGTTATGTCTTCATCTGTGGGCAATCTCAATGGAAGCAATTCCAATAGTTTATCCATGGACTCAATATGGGATGTTTGAGAAGCCTTGTACTGTTTACTCCATGTTGAAATCTACAACAGAAAAGAAAACTGCCATACTCATTCAGGGATTTTTTTAAACAAGGGAACAGGGCCGCAGCGCCCTCATGCTATGGCCATGCACCCCCTTACCCTGCAGGGAGCAGATTTTCTGGCAACCATAAAATTCTGACTGACCAGGGATCACATGTGGCCACAGTCTTCAATTGTGACCTGTCTGATAGTAATTTTGGCGCTGAGGAAACCATAGAATGCTTCATTTAAATTTAGAATTATCAAAATCTTAACACCCTGGTAGGGAGAACCTCCCCCACTTGATGGTGCTGCTGAATTGCAGTGCTCCGTCTTGCAGTTTTTTTCTAGAAAAAAAACCCTGCCCTTAAACAAAAAGTCCATCTCTAGCAGATGCGTATCCCATGGATCGTTTATTATTCAACAATAATAATACATTATTTTGATGCAATTCAGAACTACACAAAACTTAATTACATCTACCCAAAGGCCTGACTTGCATAAGTATGTGGCTGTTTTAATAATTGACTTTAGAAACAAATGACCATTTAGACCTCAAGATTTACATGTTTTTTGTTGTTTTTTTTGCCACTAAATTAGTGTTCTATTATCTCCTGTATTGACATATATTGTTCTGAATCGCATGGATACAGGTCAGGAGAGAATTAAACACTGTTTTAGGTTCTGTCATTCACAACCAGAACATGAGGTCTATATTTGCCTTTGAGATATATTTTCCAACAGATCTTTGACAAAAAACAATGTTAATGGGTGTCAATAGGAAAAACAAAATTTTATTAAAACTTTAAAATCCAACTTCCATCATTTTTCATTTCTATTTTTGCATTCTTTCACAGTTCTTGAATACTTTAAATAAATCATTTTTTTACTTTTAATTTGATGATATTTGTTGATATATCGAATATGTCAAATCATAATACCACAATGTATAACAATGTATTACAATGTATAACCTATTGTTTCATTGAAAAACCAGTGAGTATTGCTCAATATACCAAAGTAATGAAATTAAATAATAGTGAAAATTCAGACTATTACAGTGGTACTGATTACATAATTATTACACTCAGTGATAATAAAAAATCACTTGAAAACTTGCATTAATTCTAATGTGCAAATGAGACAAAAAGAGAACATCTTTTTGACAAAGTTAACATACTGTAAAATACTTTATTTTGGATGTTTTGTATAGAATGAATGATTTGAATGTAAAATATCGGATTTTATTTATTTTCACTGAATCATTCCTTCATGAAAATAGCGAAAATTAATTCCAAGCGAAAATGAAGTATTTTACAGTATTTGAAATTCTGCTTGCAAATTAATGACTATAGGATTATGACAGACTAAAAGAAGTTGACAATAAGCTCTGACCTGTCTTTTGCAATAGTTTCCAGCTTTCCCAAAATCATGTAGTTTTAAACGCTGCCAGTTTATCTGGTGTAACTTTGCCAGGGTGTGGTTCATAACTTGAAATAATTCCAACCTTTCCTTCGGTGAACATCCTGGAAGGCTTGCATTCCGAAATATTCGTCCCTGAAGATATTTATAGAAATTGAATTTAACATTAAAAAGAGGTGGTCGTCACTCAAGTGCATGTTCATATTTCATGTAAACAAACAGTGTATTTTACATGTATAAGTCCCATATTGAAAACGAAGTGGCACAACTACCATCTTTTAAACAAGAACCTTAAGTGACCTGGTAGTCGAAATAGCTTCACTGTTTCAGCAGAGCACAGTCTAGCAATCAAAAGTGCATGCATATAGTCACATAAACATCATAGTGGGGAAATAAATAAACTTGGCTTTGTTTACATTCAACTCTTGTGATGAAAAGAGAAGTTTAATAGTACCCAAGTTTTGGATTCATCAATTCCAATGATAGAATATATGTCCGTGAAGTAGTAAAAAGTTCCTCTTATGTCACAAAATGATCTAATCTAATAGAGGTCCACCCAAGGTACATGTACATAAATACTAAGTATTATTTCAATCATCAAGTAGCAAGATATTCAATAATTCAAGATATTGTCATATATAATAGACATCCACCCGAGGTACATATATACTAAGTATCAAAGCAATTGGAGTAGATGATTATTAAGGAACATATGTGCCAAGTATAGAGTGAATGGTTTTAAAGGAGAAAAGACAAAAATTAAAGAAATTAAAATGTGTTCACAAAATGTTCAAATCTAATAGAGGTCCACCCTAGATGTAGCATCAAACCAATCGATGTAGAAGTATTCAAGAAAAAGTTGCAAATAACATTTGTGACCAAAAAATACAAAAAAACAGAAGATATCATCATAAAAATTATCAAATTTCATAGTATCCACCCAAGGAACATGTTGTACCAAGTATAAAAGCAATAGAGTTATTTGTTTTCAAGAAGTTGTTTAAAAAAAAAGTTGACGTGTGACGATATGGCAACAGCGGACAATCATGCACCTGCACCATCTTTGATGACAGTGGAGCTAAAAAAATTTCTAGTCTGTTTGTTTTTCAAAACTTATTTGAAATTGTCAGTAAAATTGTGGTAATGATTTCTTAAAACATAACAAGCGAAATTACCCCATGTATGGCGCAACTGAAAAAGTCATGTTGGGATAATTAGTTGAGATCAGTAAATATTTTGTGAGTTGCTGTAAACGCTTTAAATTTAACCAAGTAAAATCATACTAAGGGTGCTCCTCTCAACAAGATTTGTTGACCAATTAGAACATTCCTAATTCCTAGAAAGTGGTATGAGCTAATTTTTATTGGTTTCTGATCCTGCGAGATCTGAGCATGACTTGCACCGATTAATGGTCACATACAGTGAGAGAAACATACTGGAATACATTCTAGCAACGAAAATTTGACTGCTCTTTGAACACTTTGAACAAGAAGTGCAAATATTTTTCGCAGCTACAATTAAAGCAGGAGAGTCGTCACCAGCGCACGCGACGATAACAACACACGCTAAAAACGCAAAAGCTCATGGCTAGACACTTGTTTGTAAACAATGACACGCTATGGCCATCTGACACATGCGCAGGTGACGACTCCGTTGATTTAAACATTAAAACGTATCACATATAGATTATTATTAATAATTAAAAGAAAAGTTGACTTGCACTTGAACTCACCCGGACATGCTGCATTAAGTAGAACTCGGTTCCAATAATATTTGTATTGCGGCAGTAAAAATATTGCTTTGGCACAGGAAATCCAATACTATAGAGGGCGCTCTGTATACGAAATTCTCTGTCAATCTAAAATAATAGCAATAAAAATAAAATAATTAAAGGCCCAAGTTTGAAGGTTGTTATTTTTTTCAGAACATGCTTTGGTCATACATGCTATATGTAAAATAGTTTAAGCATTCATAAGAAACAATTTCCCCAAATTGTAGCTTTTTTTTTGAAAATACAAGATTGTATCCATTTTTTTTCTTTTAATAACTTCAGCCATTCATGTTACATGCAAAAAAACAAGTTGATTGGTTAAACCATGGATAAGAAACAAATGCCCCACATTTTTGCCATTTTGGGCGAAAATCTAAGATAGTGGCCAAACCATATGACTGTTCAAATTATTTGTGTGCAATTTCAAAATAATCTGACATCTGAAAAAACTACTTACTGTTCAGAAAAAATCAAAGATGGCCTACAAACCAACCAAAGGACCAATCACAATGAGCTTTGCATTATAATAGATAGAAGTCATGTGACTGTTAACGCTCTCATTTGTGAAATAGGGAGCCCATACAACAGTAATGCTACAACAACAAAAATCAGAATGCCAAGACCCTCAGAAATAGTTCAAAATAGCCACTTTCGGTTTAAATTAAATCCAAGATGGCTGCTGAACCAGTTGACCCATCAAAGTTCTGAAAATTAGCTAAACCAAGTCACATTAGGATCTATCATTATAGACAATTTCATAACATTTTGTTCAGTGTTGAAGAAAAAACAATGGAAGAAGAAAAACAAAATCAAATAGACCAAACAGACTCGAACCTTAAGGATAAAAGAATTAGAATGAAGTAAATGTGATTTACTAAATTATCAAATAAAAAAATTCAACTTCAACAAATTTGAAATAAAGTTATATTTTATAATTCATACCTGATGTGCACCCCTTAGTAGTTTTCCGGGCGGTTTCTTTCGTAAAACAAATTCCATTCCATCTTTTTGTAGAAAGAATGTTGGATTTGATTGTCCAGACCTAGGTTTCATAATTGAAAAAAAAAAATTACTTAAATTAATACCTGTGGGAACTTGTTGATTAAAGTGTATTTTAATTTTTTGGGGACTTAAAGTATATTTCTTTATTTGTTCAAGATCAATATTTTTAGAAAAAAATTATTTCAAGAAAAAAATAATTGTTTTGCAAACCTTAACAAAATATACAAATTTGTTTGTATTAACACATTAGTGTAGATCATGCACAGTTCAATTTATGAGACAATGAGGGAAAGTTCATATACTGTGGAATAATTTATTTTCGCTGGAATTAATTTTTGCTGAAAAGGCTTTTTGGGTGTTTTGTATGTAATTTATTTTCACTGATTTTTGATGAGTTTAATATGAAATATAGGAAAAAAAGTATATTTGCTGTATTTTATTTTCACGGAATCATCCCTTCAGCGAAAATAGCGAAAATAAATTCCAAGCGAAAATAATGTATTCTACAGTATATTTTGGGCAACATACATCAAGAATTTGCAGTTTACATTGACAAATGTGCTATTTTCTGAAATAGTTTCTTCCATAATAATATGTATTTTATCATACAAGAACTAAATATGGGCGTCTTTCTTCTTTCTTTTGAAAATGAATAATGTAAATAAAGTTATTACAATAATTGCTATAATGAGGGGGGCAATGGTTATTTTCGTTCAACGTAATTGCAATATTTTTTTGTTCGTACAATGTAAATTGAAAAAATAAATTCCGTAATTCTGTAATCACAGACTAGACGTACAACATAATAAATCAAATATTTTTTTCGTACACTGTAAAAATGTGTCATTTTTCTCGGTACGTACAAGAATTTACATCCAAATAAAAAAAGTCGTAAAGAATAATCCAGGGAAATTACATTTTCAAAACTGTAAAACGACTAGATGACACAATTCACTGCAAAATTCAATTTCCACTGTAAACTGTAAAAACGTCTTTTTTTTCTTGTAAATTGTAAAGAGCCCTTTTTATTTCCCGTAAAACTGTACCAGCTACCCCCCCCCCCCTCTATAATGAGATCAATAGTCAATATTTATTTACATGTATGTATTGTACCTGTATTGCTTCACTTCAATGCTGTTATTCGATTTTGGAAATTCCTCTACATTTTCAACTAGGTGTCGATGCAACTTATCAACATCAAAACGATGTTCACTTCGTACTTCCGTAGTATCCATGTAGCTCTGTTAAATCATAAATATATGAATTCGACAACCCCTGTTCAATCCGTCCCGCAGTAAGACTGGACGATAACCCAGAAGCAAGTTCTTTGACCTTTGCCTTCGAGGGCCCCCTATCCTCTCGATTATATTACATATCGCGCTCAGGTGTCAGTAAACAGCTGACCGGTGACAGAATCATGGACACGACCGGAATTCGCAAACAACATCGATTTGATGAAGACAAGTTACATAGATATCTAGTTAAAAATATACCAGAGTTTCCTAAGACGAAGTCATTGTTTATTGTACGGCAATACAGGTACATGCCACATCCAGGGACGGCGGTCACATTTGGTCTGTCGACTCGGGGTATACAAACTTTTCAGATATGTTGAACCCATAGCCTGATCAAAGTACGATGCGATGACATATTATAAGCATTAGATTGTCTCATTCATGATTATAGTTTTACCGTGTTATTCTTAAAACTGCAATTTCATTAAATGCTTTAAGTTCATGTGACACCCGCCAAGAACATTATCAGAGTTATTCAAGAGTTCTTTGGCACCCCACCCTATAATCCTAACTCTAACCACAGTCCCTCGGGTGTGGAGGGACTACCCTCTAACCCTAACCCCTACCCTAATAATAATATTAATAATAATAATAATAAAGATGAAAATCAAGACCTTTATGTCATTTTAGTCAAAAATTTATAAACAAATTATAGAAAAAATTTGCAAAATATTGTACAACAACAAGCTGGATTGTTGACTTAATTTATTGATTGTTTCGTGAAATAGTCAAAAATTACCAACTAACATTTAAACAGATTTTTTTAGCATTTCCAGACTTCACCAAGTCACTTTACTGCTTGCAGGATTTTCTAATTGCTGATTTGATGATGACATTTTAATATTATAAAATCTAAGTCAGTAAAAAGCATTGAGAAGTAATGCATATCCAAATTTTCCTCACCTCTGAAATTATAGAACTCATATTACCAGTACATCAGAATTTATTTGGAATATCAAATACTGTGCATTTTCTGACTTACCGGTAGTTAAAGCAATTCTTAAATCCTTAAAGTAGTACTCCAGCATGCTGATATGGAATGGTTTTCTGCCCGAGATGCGACTTAGATGGTGATCTTTAACACCAATGTCAATCAGAATCTGGCTTGATTGCATCATTATTTTGTTCATCGTCATGGTTACGTTAAATGCTAAAGAATTTCAGCAATGTGTAGGAGAGAATGCAACTTTATTATCTATATATATTCCATTAGATCTGGTCAATCTAATCCAACTTTCTACCTCAAAAAGGATGACAGAGAATTTGTTCTTCGGAAGAAACCACCCGGAAGCAAATTACTTAGAGGCGCACATCAGGTGAGAAATCCATGGAATTAGTGATGCCAAGGGTTAATTAAATTAAGGGCATACAAATCAGTACAAGACAAGTAATGGTTTTGTTGATGGTTAAGAAAATTGATAGCTGAATGGGCATCATGACATGTACGTTCAAGTACTGTATATGTTACTATGCATAGTATGGGACCCACATCCAATGCATGCTGTCATGACAACCACCCACATTTCAGAGTCGCATCCTGATTAATATTTGAAATTTTTGGATTTCAGATACATAGGGAGTACCGTATCCAGAATGCCCTGGGTAAAGTAGGATTTCCGGTTCCTAAATTGTACATATACTGCACGGATACTGATGTCATTGGCACAGAATTCTATGTCATGCAACACATGCAAGTAAGATCAAACTGTGAATTTTTTTGTAAAAACCATCTTAGTATTACACTGGTGAATGTATAATTACATTTGAAAAGCTTGTCAAAATGTCATTGGTCAAACTGTGTATGCTTCACAAATGTTGTAGGTTTCCAATTATGTATAAAATAGTACTATATGTGTTCATTCTACGTTTCTATTGAATTATTGTTCATTTGTTCTTTGGTCTTTAACCACACCATGCACACCACGCAATACTGTAAAATACTTAATTTTCGCTTGTAATTTATTTTCGTTGAAGGAATTATTCAGTGAAAATAAAATCCAGTGAATATACCTTTTTCCAATATATTACATTCAAATCATCAAAAATCAGTGAAAATAAACTCTATACAAATCACCCAAAAAGTATTTTCAGCATAAATTAATTCCAGCTAAAATGAAGTATTTCACAGTATATGCAGTTCATTCAAACGCAATGAACATAAACATTGCTTTACTTTAACTTTAACAGTATTGCATTACGCTCACTGTTATGCTAACATAATAGCATTATTAGTACATTGTATCAGCATACCATTACATTTGTGTTTTTTTAATATTGCTGTTTTGTTTTGTTTTATTTTGAGCTAAATTAATTGCAATACTGCTGGCAAGCATGGCACATAACTTCGACAAATGTCTTCCCATAAATGCAATCTGATTAAATTAAGATTGGGCTTTATTTTTTTCTCATTTCTTTTTATAATTTTTTTAATTATTTATTTATCATACACTACCTGTTACTTTAGTTTATTTGACATTTGTTGTGATCCTTTCAATTTCATATAGTGCCTGTAAATTGCTCATGTGATATGTATTAATCCTACATATATTACGTAAAAATGTATCATTTTTCTTGTTTTTCATTTTTTTTTATACACGTAATGCTAATGTTATCACAGACATATTTTTTTAACTTTTTTTTTTGTTCTAGGGACGCATATACAGGGATGTGATGTTACCAGAAGTGGAACCAAGCAAGAGAGGTCCTCTCTATAAGGCAGCCAATGAGGCACTGGCAAGACTACATCAAATCGATTGGAAAGCTTTAGACTTGCAGGATTACGGCAAAGAAGGCAATTACTGCAAACGACAGGTTTGTGTGTTTTTGAAAATCCATTCGAAGATGTCATGTAGCTCAAAAATGAAAATAAACAAATAAACATAGAATTGTTTCCTTTATATTGTATTTTGAGCAATTAATATTAAGGTATTTGCAAGAAAAAAGTTTAATAGAAGCAAACTTACTATTTTTTCGTGAAAATGTTGTTCTTTAAATTAATGCTATTAATATTAAATGTGTGTTAACATCAAGTGATATTTATTTATTCAGCACTTGTTAGTCCCCGTTCGGACGAAGTCCGAAAACGGGGACTTATGTTTTGCCCTGTGTGCGTCCGTCCGTGCGTCCGTCCGTCCGTGATCACCTGTATCTCGAACATGCATGGACCGATTAAGTTCAAACTTCATTCATACATCACACATTATATGGGACATATGCACATGCATTTTTTTCATGATCCGATTAACGATAGCCGAATAGCGGCCATTTTAAGGCCGAAAATGCATCAAAATCGCACATTTTCACCATTCCGGACCATGCAGGTGCATTTCGGTCATGATCTGCTTTGAATGTATATGTCACTCAAATATGAACGGAACGGGGACGTGTCATTGACAATGACTTGTTGAGATTTAAAGGTTGTACAGACCTTTACAAAAGATTCAGATCCGAAAAAGTAGTAACAAAAATTATTGAAATTGTAATTCATTTGTGTTTTAGGGGATTTTGTAACATCAAGTGGGTGTGGTAAAATAAAGTGTATTAGCATTAGGCTGGTGTTAACATTGAGTTAAAATCAAGTGTCTCAAATAGATGTTAATGTTAACATTAATGTTAGCATTAAAGTGCTTGTGGACATTGTGTGTGTTAAGAACACATAAAAACTCATGTAAGAACAATTCACAATGCGAAGTTTCAGATTTATGAGTATTTTTTCCATTGAACAGGTAAGTAAATAGTAAACAAAACAAACAAGTAATTCAATTATTTTGACATTTCATATGAATACTTTGATTGCAGGTCATGACTTGGAGTAAACAATATTTATCATCACAGACGTCAGATATCGATTCTATGAATAAACTTGTAAAACTGCTTCCTCAACGGTTGCCACAAGAAGAACACGAATTAACAACAATTATCCATGGAGATTACAGAATTGATAATATTGTATTTCATCCAACAGAGGTATTTCAAATTATCTTGGTGTAAATTTTAAATTACCCACAATTCATCATGTTTTTTTCTTGTCCATAGTGTTTTTATGCTTGAGTGTGTGTTTAATTTTCTCGACTGAAGTGTTGTTTTTCTCGATGCTCCGCTCATTTTTCTCGATTATTGTGTTTGCCTTCTTGAGTGGCCCTCTCTATGGTACCCCTGAAACAATTATTCATGGTTTACATGTAAGAATTTCTTTTTTAATTTAATTTAATTGACTTGTCTTCTTTTTTTTAATTTTTTTTTAAATTTATGGATGTTCGTTTTTGATGTGATGTGATATTCGTATGAAAATTTACGTAAACCAGGAAACGAGGAATAATTTTTAAGTCATAACTTCTATAAATATTTTGGTTGTTTACACAAAATTTGAATGTGTAGACAATGACTGCCTTATTTTGACTGCTGTGAAATTTTCATATGGATTGTTTTTGAATTGTTATCTCCTAGCCCCGTGTGATTGCTGTACTTGACTGGGAGTTGTCTACGCTAGGTCATCCGCATGCCGATTTTGCATATATTTGTCTGATGTACCACATTCCTGAGATTCTCTTCATGGGAGGACTAACAGGTTTGTACAGTTCTAATTTTTAGCAGTCATTACGCAAAACACTTTTAAAGTTATGCTATGAGATCTTTCCTATAGCTTTGTTAGTCTGTGGGTCTTGTGTGAATATAGTGATTTGATACAAAGTGGAAAATAGCTTGCAGGAAATTTCTTTTTGAAAATTCCTTATTTTTACTGGAAATTGACAAAAATGATATTGACAAAATGTGTGTTTTATAACTCTTACTCATAATAGTAGATAACATGTACTATCACATTAATGATTTATTTGTTACTTTGCCCATTTGTCATGTAATGGAAAGTAACATTGCCTTCAGCCTTTATTGTTTTATAGTTTCAACACTTCTGTAAGATACATTATAATTCAACATGTTTG